TATCTCCCCAGATCACGCCAGATCACGCCAGAGTTGGCATATCTCGCCACAGCTCGCCTAGAGATCTCGCCGCGGCTCGCCGTCTCTCGCGTAAATCTCTCGCCGCATCTCGTCGCACCGCGCCTAGATTTCTCGCCACTCCTCGCCACACCTCGCCACACCTCGCCACACCGCCGTCGCCACACAACCTCTCCAGCCGCTCCACCGCACGCCGCCGCGCGCGTCGGAGCTGTCCAGAGAGCTGCACAGAAGCGCGCGCGCACCCTCCGCCCGCCCCGTGTGGGCGCTGATCTGCAGCTCAGATCGTTTGACTCGCGGTTGCCTGCTCCTGCCCGCCCCCGTTTCGGGCAGGCGCACGCCCATATCTCCCCATATCTCCCCATATCTCCCCATATCTCGGGCAGGCGCACGCCCGCGCGGAGCTCCACTGGAGAAAGGTGCTCGCGGAGGCCGCCGCCGGGGCGGAAGGCGCGTCGCAGCAGGTGCGGGCGCTCTTCGTCCCACAGACACGTTGTCCACGCAATAGCGCTTGTTCACGCCCGGCGCTGTGACTGTCCCCACGCAGGCGCGCCGCTTCGCCCACTCGACGGAGCTGCAGCTTGTCCTGATGGCGGAGGAGGAGGTGGAGACACGGAGACACACACACACACACACACACACACACACACACACACACACACACACACACAGCTCGCCCGCGCGCACCGGGCCTTGCACTTTTGATGCCGTGGGGCTGTCGTTTAGACGTGGAGTCGCAAGGGTCGCCCCCCCTACCCAGACTTACATCTTTTGAGACGGTTACCCTGCCTGACCTTACCTTAGGTGGGCCGGCTGTCGCACGGCCGCTGGCTGGCGATGGGCACCAGCGGGCTGCGCGGCGAGGAGATGCGCGCAGTGCTGCACGCCGTCACCCGCTCGAGCGCGTCGGGCGTCGCGGTGGCCTCCTTCGTCGAGCAACTGCGGCACAAGATTGAGGCGTTGCCACCTTCGCCGCCGCCGCCACCGCCGCCGCAGCCGCCGCCGCCGCCGCCGCCGCCGCCGCCGCCGCCGCCGCAGCCGCAGCCGCTGACCACTGCTGCCGCACCGACCGGAGCGGGGCAGCCACTTGACGCTTGGGGGGCCTATTGCATGTGCGCGTCTCAGCCACCCCAAACGTCTATGCCGCCTCCCTCGCAGCCGCCGCCCCCCGCCCTCCTCGCGCCGCCACGACCCTCCCCGTCCCGCCTGAGTAGCATGCCGCCGCCGTTGCCGAGATCATCGCCGGCTTCATCTCCAAGTCCGGGCGCGGCTGGCGGCAGCGGTGCCCGTTCCTGCAGCAGCGCCATGCTGGAGGCCATCCGTGCCAACCCGAGGGGAAGGCTCCGAGCCGTCGCCAAATCAAAGCCGCTGCCGTGATTGGGCGTGTTGTGCCTGGTGAGCTGTACATACAATGCGCCTCCCTCTCCCTTTTCTCCCAGTAAGCTAAAAGTACGTACATAGAGCCAGCTTACTAGAGAGTCTATATACGTAGACAGAAACTGCTTCACGAGTTACTTACGACGAGAAGAACCTAGCTAGAGCCGTAGACAGGCTCACTCAAAAAAAAGGGCCCGGGGGGCGCGACCTGCACGTTACCTGGGTGCTGGGAAGCGCGGGGAGTCGGGCACCGGGCGCAGGGCAGCCCACTTTGCCGCGGTGCAACACCTCCAACCAACAGCAACACGAAAAGACGTATTTGTTCATTTTTTGTCGTTTTTTGTTGGTGTGGCGGAAAGACTCGACTTCTCGAGAGCGGAGTCCGCGGAAGAGGCTGCAGAGGACGACTTGAGGACGGAGCCGTGCCGTCTCATAATTAATGTAGAAACCTTAATGTGTAGAAACATTTCCAGACACGGCCCGAAAACTAAAATCCTAACTCACGGGAACAACATGATTCAGTCCCCATATCTCATCGCGCGCGGGTATCGGCTCGGTATGACGCGGTCGCGCGGCGGCGGGCGGCACTCGATGGCGCCGGCCTCAGAGAGCGGGAGGATCTTCGCGGCCACTCGCGACTGCACGAGGCCGGCGGGCACGCAGCCAAACGCGTTCGAGTCGTGCGATAACGGGCCGTTGTCCCCTTCGACCCACACGTGCCCGCGCGGTACCCGCACCAGCGAACCGTCCCCGCACCGCGGCCGCACAAGGTCACCCTCGACGCCAATCACCTGGGGGAGGCGGAGGGCGCGGGTTGCGGACGGCACACTCCGCTCTTGGGACTCGGCGGCAATCGGTGGGGTGTGCTAGTCGCGCACCCGCTTAATGAGCACGTCGCCAACCTCGCATGGGGAGAGGAGCTCCACCACGTCGCCGCGCTCGTATGAGCGCGCCTGCGGGGCGGAGACCGCACGTCGTCGGAGGGCCCTGGCGAGGGTGCCTGGCGATGGCTGGGCTCGGGCGAGGCGCGACTGCGCACGTGCCACCGGTCGAGGAGCAGCAAGTCGCCGATGCGCCACCACGCGCGCGTGCTGTTCATAGTAGGCTGCATCGACCGACCCTCGGTTTGCCTGACGGTGCCAACGTACTCCTGGACGGCCAGCACGACCGGAACCCACCGCGCGACGTCCAAAAAGAACCGCTTGGACCTCTCTGACAAGATGAGGACCTGAGTCATGCCATGCCCTGGGGGCGCAGCTTTGCTTTCGAAAAAACTATTAAGGTGGCAGTCCGGGTTCTGTGAAGAGGGTCGCTCGTCGAATGCGAGCCAGTTCGCTCGCGACGCCGACGCCGACGCCGCCGCCGGAACGACCGCGGCGGCCGGTCGAGCGGCCGCCCCGGCCAGCGGCCGTATCGAGCCTGCCCGTCGCGAAGGTGCGGACCTCACGCGCCCCACCGGCCGCCCGCGCCGCCGCGCCCACGTCGCTCTCTCGAAGCCCAGCGCCACGCCGCTACGACTCCCATCGCGACGACTCCCGTGCTCGCTCGTGGCGCAGGCGATCGACTCCTGACACCCATCGAGCGGATGGGCGCGTTCCCGCCGCGACCCGGTACTCTCGAACGACTTTTGAGGGCAAAAGGTGCCGCCCGAGCCCATTCCCGCCGCCCGCCGCCCGAGATCAGCTGCCACCGGCCAGCGCGCGCGCGGAGACCTGCCGCGAGCGCCTCCGTGGCCCTAGCTGGGGTGATTAGCAAGCGCCTCGGCACTTTAGATTCGCCCCTCGGGCTTTTCCGCGCGCGTGATCAGTCTCGCGTTCTCTCCTTTTTCAGGCGCCTGTTTTCGGCCTCTGAAGAGCAACCGTCGAGGCGTCGATGCTCGCCTCCACGCCCGCGCCAGACCTCCGCGATTGGGGCGCCTTGTCGACGGGATCAATTGTGATTCCGGGCGTATTTTTCTGACACTTTACTCGCACGTCGGCGACTCTTAGTCGCTTCTCCGTGCTAGGAGGCCTCTGTTTTGTGTCCGTGAGGACTAGATCGAAACTAACATTTCGGCATATGCGAGTAAAGTATCAGAAAAATGCGCGTTCGTTCACAATTCATGTGTATATGAACGGTGCCGACGGGTTTGGCGAGCATCGAAGCCGTCCAGGCGCAGCAACGCGACGGTTTCGGAGGCCGACGGCTCCGAAAGAGCCTCCCGAGCGAGGCCGGCGCGGTCACGGTACCGTGGAGGCCACAGACGTCGCCGGAGCGGCACTCCCGGGGCGCCACTCCCTCACCCGGTCAGGGGGGGCCAACCACAGCCCGCCTCACCGTCCGTGGAGCTTCCGTGGTCCGCCGCTTCGGCTTCGATTTTCGACCCTCCCGAGGCTGCTATAGCAGCCCCGCGGAGCCTCCCGGATGCACCAGCACACCGTCGTCCAGAACGCCGGCGCACGCGCTGCCCAGTGACTGGGCGGGTCTGCCCCGACTAGGGGCGGGCCCAGCCGCGCGGAGAAGACCATCCCACTCGCGGTTCGTCGCACCGTCCGCTCCAGTTTTCGTCTCGAGCGGGTCGTGAGACGGCCGCGAGAGCGAGCACCGCGGTCACGGTACCTTGGAGGCCACAGACGTCGCCGGAGCGGCACTCCCGGGGCGCCACTCCCTCACCCGGTCAGGGGGGGCCAACCACAGCCCGCCTCACCGTCCGTGGAGCTTCCGTGGTCCGCCGCTCCGGCTTCGATTTTCGACCCTCCCGAGGCTGCTATAGCAGCCCCGCGGAGCCTCCCGGATGCATCGGCACACCGTCGTCCAGGATGACGGCGCACGCGCTGCCCAGTGACTGGGCGGGTCTGCCCCGACTAGGGGCGGGCCCAGCCGCGCGGAGAAGGCCAGCGAGCTCGAAACACGTCGCCGCGGCCGGCCGTTTCGCAAGCCTGAGCGGGTCGCCAGACACCCGCGAGAGCCAGCAGCTAGAGCGCCGTCGTAGCCGCAGATCGAGTCGAGGAGCTTGATGTCCACGGTAGCAGTTGTGGAGAGCGGTGGCAAGGTGCGTGTAGACGCGTCGATTGAGGGCTCCCTTTCGAAACGCGACGGGTACGGCTTGACAACTGCCAGCACAGTTTTACGCCGGCCAGCGTGAGAGCACAACAGGGAGCCGGCGACCCGTACGCTTTGCGCGTGGCGACTGGTGGCTGTCTGGAGCTCGTGTGAGCTGGGCCGACGCGTGGCCGAGCCGAGAGGACCAGCGAGCGACCACGTTGGCGATGAAGCTTGGCGGCCGGCGCCTCGTCGCCAGACGTCACAGCGGCGTGGACGTAGGAGTGTGCGGCGACGGTTACCGGCAAATCCGGCCCAGTGTGGCCGGCAGCTGCCTAGCGCTGGCCTGTGGCCGGCGCCGCGGTGGCGGAGAAGGCGTCTCGCCGCCGTGGCGGCGGTCGGCAGGTGCGAGCGTGATGCCATCTTGCGGGACGACACCCGTCTCGCAAAACCCGGACTGCCACCTTAACAACGAAGGCGCTCTCAAAAAAACCCGGAATTTGGGATATCCCAGCACATGCAGGGCCAGGGGTCGGTCGTGTTCCTAAATCGCTGAACCCGATGCGCGCGCCGAGCCGCCGATCTTACGCGCAGTCCACCATCGCGAATCGCGCGCGGAAGGTCTCGTCGAAGCGGTCTCTGTAGTTCTTGCGCAGGCTGGCCGCGTGGCCGGGCGCTGCCGCGTCGAGAAGGTGCCTGCGCCGGTCGCGTGCGAGGCTGAAGCCGTCGAGGCTCAGCCAGAAGGGCTGCGTCCACGCGAACTCAATGCGCGAGCGCTGCACGGCACCGGCCTGCGTTGGGGGCTCGTACACGGCTTCCGAGACCGTCACGCGCACATACGTGGCGTCGCGCGTGCCGGCGTCGCGGCGCGCAAGGAGATCCCACGGGTCGAAGCTAAGAGAGGCGCCATACTCCTGCGTGAGAAAAGCGCCGTCGTCCGTCGTCGCGACGATCTTGTGCGCGCCCGCCGCGGCCACGGTGATGCGAGTGCCCTCCACCTCAATGCGATCGATGGTGGGCCCCGTGCTAAAGTAGAAGCAGCCGCTCCGCACCGCATGCAACATCGTATCCAAGCTCGCGTCAGGCGCCACGCAGAGCACATTGTACGCGAGTCCCACGCCTGTCTGCACGTACTCACCCAAGTTGTCATGCCCGAGAATGCCGCTGCGAATGCCCTGGTACGAGTCGCCGCTGCCCATGCCCCACACGAGGCAGCCGGAGGAGAGGAGCGCGTCCCACTGTCCATCGCTCCGCCACGAATAGCCGCCCACCGGCTCGGGAGCGGCGAGTCGGACGTAGCCGTTTGCAACCTCATGGAAGTGGACGCCCGTCAGCTCCGCCGCAAACAGCCGCTCTTTGGGGCAGCTCTCGGCCTTGGGAAGGTCGATGGGCGTGCCCATCGTCGGGTGGTAGGCCATAGCTAGCTCGGGGTGTTGAGGGAAGAAGCCAAAGTGCGGGCCAAGACCGGACTCGAAGAGCAATTCGGCGCCGGCGAGGACATGCATGCCGAGGGTGGCGCCGCGCTGCTCCAGATCTGCATCGACGACCGCGTTGTGCGCATTCGCGACCAGGCCGACCAGGTTGTATCCGGCGCAGTCGCGGAGGATCTGCTCGGTGGGCTTGTCGGCGCGCAAGATCTCGCCGTCGCTGGTGTGGACGTGGAAGGACGCGCGGGCCCAAGGCCCCGCACTTGCCTTGGCATACGGGTTGAAGATGCCCGGCAGCGCCTCGCCATTGGCATGCCTGTGCCGGAGCCCGATCACACGCTCGAGGTCGCCCGGCCGGCAGACCGGCGGGCGCACCGCGGCATGCGGCCCGGCCCATGAAGCTTCAGCCTGCCGGAGAAGTTTGAAGACATTTTGGTCGATGCGCACACGCTTGCGGATGGCGTATCCGCGAAAGATTGATTGCAGGCGCACTACTCTTTCGAGGTGTCCTGCAAACGTGTCAAGTGAAAAGTCCTGACGCAATGTCCAGCACGCTGAAGCGCGATTGTAGTCGTCTGCCGAGAGAAACTTGCCGCACGGCGCGCGGCCAGATGCGGTGCGCACAGCCGCGAGGTCGTCCAGCACGACCACTTTCTCTGCGCTCGAGGCGCAGCCCATGTGCAGAGCGGAGCTGGGGCAGCGGCGACGGGCGGCGAATCGTGCGTCTAGAATGGCTACTCGACGGCGGGCGGGGGGGGGCAGCTCACAGGGTTCGGGGCCTTCGGGCTCCAACCCGGATAGGGGGTCTGCGCCCCATCGGATTTGTGTCTGTGTGTCGCTCGTGCGTGTCGTCATCATCTGTCCCGCGTCCACCCATACCGCGTTGGTGTCCAGTCCGAGCCTGACTGTTGTTCATCTTTCTACATACATAGAACATACATACCATCGGAGCCCCGCAAATAGGTAGGTAGGTCCGATCTTGACCGCCCCAGAGGGCCCCGCAATAGGTAGGGAGGGTGGGTGGGTGGGGGGGGGGGGGGGGGGGGCTGGCGGTCGGCGCCCGCAAATGTAGTAGGTAGGGCGTTTTGGCGGAGTCAGGGCGGGGACACACCACCCTGTCCGAGATGTCAAGTAAAAAAATCACCTTGCGCGAGAAAAAGAAGTCACGTCGTAACGACTTTAGCGTATGCCGGCCGCGAAGGTCTCCCCATCCACTTCCCGTGGCACACGCGGGCCTCACTGCTGCCGTGCACTTTGCCTGTGCTGCTGCTGCTGTCTCCTCCTGCTGTGTATCGTCTTCATCGTGCTCCTCGTGGGCGCCATCTTGCCACTCGGCCAGATTGGACCACAATCGGTTGAGGTGTGCGGCGTGAGCCGCTGCGGCCATGAATGCCCAGAGAGCAGCAGCCCGGCCAGCACGACCACTCGCCTGCTCATCGACGTCCGCGTGCACAACCCAACCATATTCTCCGTCGGCGTCAGCAGCACCGACTCCGCGGTCACGCTCGTCGGGCACAGTGACAACATGGACCCCGCCACGAGCGCCGACGCCACCATCAGCGCGGGAGCACTCGTTGGCTGCTCGCTAGCTCGTGGCGGAGTCACGCTCCCTCCCGGCTGGGGCGAGGTAGCCTTGTACTGCGAGCTGGCTTCACACAATGCGCCGTCTGAGGCACTGATGACGGCCGACGGCATCAGCGTTCGCGTCAGCTACTTTGTCGCTGTTGAATTCCTGATGTCGTTCCCTTTCAGCAGCTCGATGACAATAACGGCGAATGAGGCCGACTTTTCGCTCTTCCGGCAGCCGCTCCAAGGCACACGGCGTGAGCTGAACGAGCACGACCGACCAGAGGGCTGTGCGAACTATTTTGAGGAGCTCGCGAGGGAGGCGGGGGCGCTCGGGGGCAAACCGTGTGCGGTGCAGGTGTGTGGCGGTGCGCCTTTTGCTTCGATCCAGGCCGACAGCGGCAGGGCGTGCGCCGCCCACATCGAGGAGCGTGCGGCCAACGGCTCGATCCCGATGGACGTGGACATTCAGGTGAGCCGCCTGCCGCGCCACGACGCGCCCGCGCCCATTTCTCCTAGCGCGCCGCCTCCTGGCAGGTCTATAATCCTTCCCCGTTGGGCGTCAGCGTGTCCGAACTGTTCGTGGCCGTGGTCGAGACTTCGCGACACGGGGTGGCCCAACACCCCAGCGCATGGGCCTCGGAGGTCACGACGCTCGAGATGGTGCAGGCGGGGCAACTAGCCGCCTGCACGCTCCTCGCGCCGCTCACGCTGCCAGCACATGCCTTTGGCGTCGCTGCGCTCTCGTGCAACTTTCGCGTCGGAGCGGACACCGGCGCGCTGCTGCAGATTGTGAAGAACAGCCCCAACTCGCCAGTCGAGCTGTCGATTGCCTACCGCGTCGCGGTGCAAGTCCATGAGCTCGGCGTGAGCGTCGCGCACGAGCAGCTCGAGTCCGCCTCCTTCTTGCCGTCGCGGCTCATCGACGAGGGTAGGCGAGTCCGCGCAAGGCGTAGACGAGTCCGTCCGCCGCACACAGAACAGACTCCAAGAAATTCCTAGCCTTTGATTTTGAGGGTAGGCGCCGGCTGCAAGGCGAGGACCCGTGCACTGGCTATGCGCGCCACCCGTACGCCGAGGTCGAGGTACTGGCGGAGCCCTTCCAGACGCTACTCTCCAGGTCGACACGCCCGACGCCTGACGGACAGCTGACCTCAGTCCGGCTGTGCAGCCAGACGCTGAGCGAGGTGCAGGCGGACAGCGGATTGAGTTGTGCCCAGGCAATCGAGCACCGAGCGGCATCCGTGGGTGCGCTGGCCGTATCCGTGGAGGCGCAGCTGCACAACCCCACCGCCTTTGCGTTGGCCGTATCAGATCTGTCGCTCGTCGCTTCGTATCCGCACGTTCCTGCCGCTTCGTCGCATCCGCTAGCGCCCCACCCAAGCACGTGGGGCGAGGATGCCACAATCCTCACGCTGGCCCAACAGAACGCCATTGCATGCGAACTCTCTGCCCCGATGCTGCTGGCTGGGTTCGGATGGGGCAACGTCTCCGTCAACTGCGAGCTCCGTCTAGGCGACGAGACTGGAGAGCTCATCGCGCGCATGCTACCCGTGCTTGCCGATCCCGACGCGACGCTCCGCCTCTCCCTGGCGTACCGCCTAGCCGCCGAAATGGTGGGCGTGCTCGTCAACGATGCGGACACGATCGATGAAACCTTCTCGCTCGCCGACATGACGGCGGGGGCCACTCGGCAGCAGCGCCGTGTGCAGGAATCGGACCCGGTTGCCTCCCAAGAGCCGGGGCCCTTTGCGGAGGCCGAGGAGCTGCTGCCGCTGCAGAGCTTTCATACGAGAAAGTGCGGCACCGACATTGACGACATGGTCAATACGCTCTTCAACAACCTTCACAGGGCGCACGGCCCACAACCCGAGGTCGCCATCGCTGCGCTGCAACCCTGACCGTCGGCTCCTTCGGACTCAGGTGTTCTCGGCGTCCTCTGTAGTCAACGGCGTTCTCTGTGACAGACTCGCCGGCATAATCCATGAGGCTTGCACAGGGTTGGAGAGGCTCGGCTTCAATCCCTACTCTGGCGTTCTCAGATGTCCTTGCGAGGCGGCGCGCGATCGCAACAATTTTCCTCGTGGTTTTGCATGGCGGCTAGCCTTGTGTGTTGTCTTCTCTGGCCGTCGGCTGGCGGAAGTCGGGGAGAACGTGACTGAGCCACGGGAGCATTTCGAGGCGGAGCTACGCGCTCCTGGCGCATCGGTTGGGCGTCTCAACGATTCGCACACGGAAGAGTGGGCACCACAGCCGCAAGTGGATGCAAACGCGTCGGTGGCGCACATGGACTCGATGCGTGCGAGTGCCGACCGCCGGCTCGCGGCTCATCATTGCAATAATTTGGTGAATGAAGGGATGAATGTCTTGCGCAATCACATGAACGCCGACGAGGTTTTTCAGTTCTTCAACCCCACCGGCTTCTCCGCCACCATGCGCGCATCGGGGAGCGCAACGTGGGCGCACATCGGCACAGGGACACTGGACATGCCCGAGGTCACATTCGCGGGGCGCTCCTCGGCGGACCACCCACTGCAGCGCAGCGACGTGGCCATGCGGCTAGACTTGCAGAATGCGCTGCCTGGGCTGTTGGATAGTGCGGCCAACATGAAGTACTTCTTCTGCGCGGTCGAAGGCCAGTTCGATGGCCGGTGCGCTGGCACACCGATGAAGCTACGCGTGGACGTTCAAGAACTGAGGGTGACCCTACTGTCCACGACAATCAACTTGAGAACCGGGGCGGGCCAACCTCTGGGCCCGCACCTTGAAATCGACGTCAGCACGTTACTGTCGGGCTCCTTTGGTGGTGGTGGCCGCCGCCGCCTGTCACAAAACTGCGGAGACCTGGACATTTGCATCGCCACAGGTCCCGACTGCTCAATTGTGCAGTCCGAGCGGGGCACCATGCCGCAGCCGCCGCCGCCGCCGCCGCCGCCGCCGCCGCCGCCGCCGCCGCCGCCGCCCGCTTGGATCGAGGTGCACGCCAACACTCGAGAGACCTCGAGAACGCAAGCCCTCCCGTCGTCCACAAGAGAGCTCACAACGGGCGCCCGGCGTGCGACTTCTTGTTTGATTTCCCACCGATCCCGCGATTGCGCGAGCGAGGTCCGGACACCGGAGCGCGGAGGAGTAGACCAATAAGCAATATTGCCATTTCGACCAAGCGCGAAAGCGGAAAGGATAAAGGAAGCTGACACTGTTGGTGTGACGTTGTTCTTTGTGTGGAATCGTTTTTTGTCTCGAGGAATGTGGCTTGTGGGGATGACGGGGATGTGTCTCCGGTTTGCGGCGTAAATTGCCGTAAACTGAAAATCGCTTCTCTTCAGCCGTAGAAGCGTGTGTGTGTGATCTGGCCCGTTTCGCCAGCGCCGATATATTTAAACACCGATATAAGACACGTGTGCATCTTTGCCTCACCCTTGCGCGAAAGCGAGCGCATCTCCTGGGCAGCACCCTCCCGCAGTGCCGACGGCCTGTATGTGTGCGTTCGGGCAACGGAGCCGCGCCTCGTGCCACCCTCTAGGGCCGACTCGGCGCGCCGAGCGCTCGCAGTCGACGCCACACTAGCCGTGGCGGTGTGACGGCATAGACCAGCACCGCGACTCAGAGCTGCAGCCCTTCGTACTTTTGCGACCCTCCGCGCACCTTGGCGCTGATGTGCCTCCTCGTGGCGACGTAGCGCACGACATGGGCCGGCGCGCCCGGCGCGTCCGAGGCGGCCTGCCAGTCGCTGCGCCACTCGGCGACGTGCTGGTCGATGAGCTGCATCAGCGACGAGATGTACGCCAGTGTGACGAGGTCGTTGCCCTGCTCGTAGTGCCACAAGTACGCGTCTAGGATCTCGACGAAGAGCGGGGCGTGCATCCCCGACCGCTTGCAGCCGTCGGCGATCTTGAGCGCGCGCTGCAGGCACTCAGGACACGAGTGACGCAGGGAGATATGGGGAGACATGGGGAGATATGGGCAGATATCACCTGCAGGCACTCGAGCGCGCGCTGCGCGTTGCGGTGGGGCGAGAGCCCCGCGAGCGGCCAAAAGGCAAAGGACGCCTTCGCGACGGCGCGCGCCTACTTGCGGCGTCATCCGTGAAGAGGCGCCGTTCACGGCTGCGCCGGGTCTGTGCTTTGCGGCGGCGCTGTTCCTGGTCGGGCTTCTTGAGCAGCGTGGCGCCGTACTGCGTGGCGGAGCGCGCGAGCGTCTCGTACTGCTCGGAGGAGAAGGACGTCATGTGCGGCAGCGCGGCCGAGAGGAGGGAGAGTGCCGCCAGCTTGGCGCTCTGCTCGGCCACCTCCTCCTCGAAGAGCGTGAAGGCCTGCGTGAGGTACTCATACGCGCCGTCGTCGTCGCCGCAGCTGTCCGCCACCTGCGCGCACTGCACGTACAGGCGCAGCGCGAGGTTGGGCGCGGCGGCGGTCACCGCCTGGACGATCTGGCCGACAAAGGCGAGCAGCTTGCCGCACGACACCTCGAGCGTGGCCCCGCCCTCCTCGGCCAGCCGCACGCGGCGCGCCAGCTGGTCGCAGGACGGCGGCGTGGTGGGCGGTGGGCGGGTGGGGCGGTGGGCGGGTGGGGCGGTGGGCGGGTGGGGCGGGAGGGGTGGCTCCTCGCCTCATCAGCCGGGCCGCGGGGTGGGTGGGGTGATGTGGGGTGGGGTGGGGTGGGGTGATGTGGGGTGGGGTGGGGCGGGGTGGGTGAGGGTGGGGTGGGCTCCTGCAGGAAGCGGAAGAGGAGCGGCACGAGCACGTGGGGCAGCCGACCCGGCGCGGCGGCGGCGGCGTGCTTGTACGCCGCGTTGAGCACGCGCGCCTCAGCGTCGGTGTCCTCGTGCGCGAGCGCGTGCATCATGGCGGCCACCGGCGCCATCTCGTCGGCGAGCTCCGCGTCCAAGCCTAGCCGATGCTAGGAAGTGTCTAGGAAGTGTCTAGGAAGTGTCTAGGAAACGTCCAAGCCTAGCCGATGCTCATGAGCCGATGCGGACTCGCTCTTGGGCCACGGTTGGGCTCTCGGCCGCATCGCGGCGACATCGCGGCGGCATCGCGGCGACATCGCGGCGGCATCTCGGCGCGCATCTCCGGCGGGCTCTCGGAGCGCTCTCGGCGACATCTCGCCGTCGGCATCCGAGCGGTCAGAGGCGCCGTTTGCCGTCTCGGCGCCATTGGCCGGCGCGGCGGGCGACGAGTCCCCTTGGAGCAGCGGCGCGCACAGCACGAGCAGCCGGTCTGCGCGAAGCGAGTCCGAGATGACGCAGCCGCGGCCCGCAACCTCCCGCAGCAGGCGCGACACCACTCGGCGCTGCTCGTCGGGCTCGAGCCGCGACACGAGCCTACGTGGGAGATATGGGGAGATATGGGGAGATATGGGGAGATATGGGGAGATGTGGGGAGATGTGGGGAGATGTGGGGAGATGTGGGGAGATGTGGGGAGATGTGGGGAGATGTGGGGAGATATGGGGAGATATGGGGAGATGTGGGGAGATGTGGAGCGCCGAGCGTCACGAGCCTACGTGCTGAAGACGCCGACATCAGGGCGGGAGGACGGTATCGTGCAGAGTCGTCTTCAGAGCACCGCGTGAGTACAACGGAGGCGAGGACAGTGAATACAGCGGAGTGCGGCCGAGTACGGCTTAACACGTGTCCTCTCGGGCGCTGGTTGGGGGACATGAACACGTACTCCGCTTCTAGGGCCGCCAGCCTCGGCCACTCGGTCAGCTCGAGCACGTACAGCACGTCGCCGCCCTTGCGCTTCAGCGGCAGCGAGAGCAAGTCCTGCACCACCGCCACCGCCCGCTTCTCGGTCACGACGCCGAGCGACTCGAGCCGCGTGCTCGCGAGGGAGAGCGCGCGCTCGAGGTACTCGGTGTGCGCCTCGTACGCCTATCACACGAGATCGGCCGAGATCGGCCGAGGTCGCCCGAGATCGGAGGCGCTCGGGCCTCGGCTTGATGAGTCTCGATCTCGTGCAATCTCCGGGCGCATCTCGGGCAGCCTGGGCGCATCTCGCCTCCAGCGCGAGCCGCGCGAGGGCGAGGGCGAGGGCGAGCGACGGCAGCAGCCGCAGCGAGGCGCAGCGCCGCTCGACGTGGTCGGCGACGGGCGTGAAGACGTCGCGCGCCTCTGTTTCGCCGTCGGCAGGCTCGAGCGCGCAGAGGCGGCTGATCAGGTGCGAGAGGATCGCCTGCCGAGGCTTCGCCGAGATACAGCCGAGATATAGCACAGAGGATGGCCGAATACGAGAGGAAGGCGGCGGCGGCGAAGGCGGCGGCGGCGGCGGCGGCGAAGGCGGCGGCGGCGGCGGCGAAGGCGGCGGCGGCGGCGTGTGTGTGTGTGTGTGTGCGTGTGTGCGTGTGCGTGTGTGTGTGTGTGTGTGAGAGAGAGAGTGTGTGTGTGAGTGTGTGTGCGTGTGTGCGTCGGCTATCTCTCGGCTATCTCTCGGCTACATCTTGGGTGCCGACTCGTCGGCGGCAGCGGACAGCCAGGAGAGGAAGCGGAGGAGGGTGGGGAGCGTGGCGGTGTGGTACGCGACCGGGAAGACCTGGCAGACGCACTCGAGGAGGTACTCCTGCGCCAGCCCGTCCTTGCACGACACGATCAGCTCGAGCAGCGGCTGCACCACCTCTGCGGTGTACACCTGCGCAGCCGGCGGCGGCGCCGGCCTCTACTCTCGCGCCTTGCGCTTGCGATCTGATGTCTTGCCCATACGCGGTGTCGGCAGAGACCGTTTGCCGCCGCGTGCGCCCCGGCATGGATTGCGCCAGTCTATCGCCGTTTGTGTGCTGCGCCGCATGCCCCCGCCCCGAGGTCTACTTCACACACCTGCAGCGTCACCCCCTCCAGCGAGGCCAGGCGGTGCAAGTTGCCGCCGACGACCACCTTGAGCTCGGCGCGCTCCTGCTCACAGCCGCAGCCGTGAAGAGACGCCGTCCACAGCTGCAGCACCACCCTTGACACGGCGCGCTCCTTCTCGCGCTGCTCCTTGTTCGCCGCCGGCCCCTGGTGCTGCATCCGCACCTGTGGAAGAGAGAGGTGGGGAGAGAGGTGGGGAGAGAGGTGGGGAGAGAGGTGGGGAGAGAGGTGGAGAGAGAGGTGGGGAGAGAGGTGGGGAGAGAGGTGGGGAGAGAGGTGGGGAGAGAGGTGGGGAGAGAGGTGGGGAGAGAGGTGGAGAGAGAGGTGGGGAGAGAGGTGGGGAGAGAGGTGGGGAGAGAGGTGGGGAGACGCACCCAGAGCTTTGCCATCTCGCCGAAGTTGGCGAGGACGATCTTGATTGCGTCCGAGACGGTCCCTCCCTCGCCCTCGTAGTCCGACCTGAGAGAGCATGCGTGTGTGTGTGTGTGTGTGTGTGTGTGTGTGTGTGTGTGTGTGTGTGTGTGTGTGTGTGTGTGTCTGTCTGTGTTTGTGTCTGTGTAGTCAGACCCCGTGTCTGGCAGCCGCTCGCGCGTGCACTGCAGCAGGTAGTTGCGCAGGAAGAGGCCGCGCAGCGGCTGCTGCACCCCCTTGCAGTGCTCGACCAGGTCCTCGAGGACGACCTTCGCGGCCGCCTCCTTGGACTGAAGAAAGACGCGGCCGACCGCCAGCAGCAGGTACAAGCGCGGGAGCACGTTGCCCGCGTGCTGGACGAGCTCGTACAGCTCGACCATGGGGCGGCCGCGCTCGTGCTCCGCCTCGAAGAACTCCTCCAGGTGCCGCAGCTCCGTCGTCACGTCGATGTACACCTCGTAGTACGCCTTTGGCCCGAGCGCCGACGTGCGGAGCTCGCCGATCATCGTCGCGGCATGGTGGAGGGCAGTGCGGAGGTGGCGCTGGTCGAGCGCCTGCGAGGCGTTGGAGCGCGGCGGGGACGATCACACGAGCGGGCGGCGCGGCGACGGCGTGCCGAGGCTGGCGGCAGGCGGGCGATGTGCGGTGCTGCTGGGGCGTGTGTCGCTCGTATATCTGCGGGGATTGCGCGCCTTCTTCATATAAAACGCCTGCTGCTTGATCGCCTGCTTGGCCGGGGCGAGGGCCTCGGCTGCGCTCATCGCGTGACACACAGAGCGGCGGCCAACTCCAGCGCCGCGAACCGGACTCCGGCGCTTCCTCTCGGTGAGACTTGCTGTTCACGTAAACGCGCAACCCCGGGCCCGAAATCGCACAGAGTCACGCAACAGAGACTTGTTCACGTAAACGCACAGAGACTTGTTACTCTACAATATCTTGACTGAGCACAACCGATGAATCGGCAGCAGGGAGACAGGAAGGCTCGCTGTGTGAGTCGGCCACGCAGAGTCGCGAAACCTGGGTGGGAAGAGGCTAACCCGCTTCACCCTTCGAGGCGCCGACTTTTGTGTGACGATTTTTGCCACGAAAAAAAACAAAACCAAAAAAACAAAACCGGCAGTACAACGAGGGGTACAAGGTCGACCTCGCGGAACCCCACGCTGGCCCGGGAGGATGCGATGAGGTGAATGAAGTCAAGCTCTGGACGCCCCTCCTCAAGACCTCCTCGGCGGGCGTTGGCAACGCCTCGAGCGGCGGCACGCCCGCCTCCGTTGGCCACTCCTACGCCTTCGGCAACACCGAGGAGAAGGCCCGCCGCCTAAACATGGGCTGCAAGGCGCGCGGGCAGCCCGGCCAACCCTTCGACCACAAGAACGGCCACGGCTACGTCACGAAGGCGCATCGCGGTTTCTACCACGACGCGATCTTTGTCAAGCGCAACAACTTCAACCTGCTGCTCCACGAGATTTTCGGCGGCGGCTTCTCGCCCACCGCCGTTCTCAAGCTGCGCCGCCTCGCGCGCAACAAACAAAAACACGTGTGAGTGTTAGAGTTGTTTGGTATTGCTAAAAATCTCTCTCTCCGCGCGCAAAGTCGCGCGCGGCAGCGTCGACCGCACGGCCTACTCGCCCACGTACTCGCTTTCTTTTATGTCCCACCATGCAGAGCGCATCTCTCTCTCTGTTGTGCGAGGCGTGAACCGCGCCATTCGCTCTCACCTGGCAACCCTGTCTGCACGTCTCGCGCGCGCGTGAACAGGGCTCCAGCCTCCAGGCCCCAAATGACGTGTGAGTGTTAGAGTTGTTTGGTATTGTATTGCTAAAAATCTCTCTCTCGAAAAAACGGCTCTGTGTTGAAAAGCAACAGGGGGCTACTCGGAGCAGATTTCCCGCCTCGCGACTAACTCCAGGCCCCAAATGACGTGTGAGTGTTAGAGTTGTTTGGTATTGCGCTAACGGACCTTACACGCCTGTAACCTCTCTTTAAGGTATTGCTAAAAATCTCTCTCTCTAACTTCTGTTTTCGTAAACGTAGTCGTGGCCCCCCGCTACGTCGCACGAGTGCAACTGGGTAGCGGGGGCTATAAATAAAACGCACCCAAGCTAAGAAAGGAGTCTCCCCCGCTGGTCTCCTCCTTCCCATTTTTTCTTTTCTTTTGAGAGCAGGACGCCGGGTTTGTCTTGTATGTGCATGTCGGGCCTGGGTGTGTGTGTGAGGGGCAAAAGGGGCGGGAGCGTGCGGGGCAGAGGCCCATAACGGCGAGCGGCTTGTCGGGGTCCGGAGAGTTCGAGGCGGGAACGAGGAGGGGGGAATGGGCGGTCGGCGTCGGGGTAGAGCAACAGGCGCGTACGGGGTAGCCGTCACTCTCCCGCCTCAAAAGGGCGGGGCTGTCCCGGAAAGTGAGAAACGCCGGGCAGCGTGGCGCATTACTGAACCCTCCCATACGTGCTCGTACTCCTCCTTTGCTGTCCCATCTCCTCATCTCTTTCCCGCCTGGGCGGGGCGGTGGGCGGGCGCGCGGTGCGGTGTGGCGTGTGCGTGTGTGCGACTGCAACGAAGGACCGCTCGCAGAGGACCATTGGGTTTGTACTATTAACAACGAAGGCGCTCTCAGAAAAAAAGAAAGAAAGCACCGGTGAATTCTTTTGGTGGCGCTTCTGAGCTCGCCGCTGCTCTCCGCTCACCACCCTTGTCGCCGCGCCGCGATCATGTCCCTGCTGGCGGCTCTCTTGGTAGCGCCGGCGCTGACGCTGCACCCCGCGAGAACAGCGCTGCGGCCGCAGCCTGCGCGGGGGCCGCTGCTGCAGCCGCGGTTTGCGGCGGCCGCAGCTCGGCCGCGCGGTGCGATTGGCGCGGCTGCAGCGGCTGCGGCGGGTGGCGTGTGGATGCAGGAGGGGCTGGAGCGGGAGAAGAAGGCGAAGAAGGGCGGCGCGGCGGTGGTGGAGCGGCCCAAGGCCGAGCCCAAGCAGATGAGCAAGGAGGAGATTGCAAACGAGCCGATGTGGCGGCTGCTGATACACAACGATGACGTGCGCCAGCCGCCGCAAGGCTCCCCGCACTCTGCTGCTCGCCGCCGCCGCACCTCCCCTACCGCTGGCCCTCGCCTCGGCCGCTGGTGCCACCGATCGGCGGCCTTCCCAGCCGCAAAGCGCACCCCATCCGACACGACAGCGCCGCTCGGCCTGCGCCGCGCCGCCGCCGCCGCCGCCGCCGCCAGAGTTGCCTCGCCCAACGCACGCGCGTGCGGCGCAGGTGCACACGTGGGACTACGTCATCTACGCGATCGTCTCGGTCGTCAAGACGGTCACGCGGAAGAAGGCCCACCGCATCACAACCACGGTGCGATAGACAGATGGAGGGGCGAAGAACAGTCAGAGGCTCGGACTGGACACCAACGCGGTATGGGTGGACGCGAGACAGACACGCAGACTCGCAAGACACCCAGCGGTACGAGAGGGCCCTTTCGCAGAGCCTACCCGGCTCTTCGATCCAGTCCCCAGACACCTCACACCGACGCGTCCCCGACGCGTCCCTGGGGCATCGCCCTGGCATCGTCCCCGACACCGCTCTGACGCGTCCCCGACACCGCTTTGACACGTCCCCGACACCGCTCTGACACGTCTCCGACACCGCTCTGACACGTCTCCGACCCGACATCGTCCCGACACGTCCCCGACACCGCTCTGACACGTCCACGACGCCGCTTTGACACGTCCCCGACCCGACATCGTCCCGACGACATCGTCCCGACACGTCCCTGACACCGCTCTGACACGTCCACGACGCCGCTTTGACACGTCCCCGACCCGACATCGTCCCGACGACATCGTCCCGACACGTCCCTGATATCGCCCCCGTTATCATCTCCTGTAGGTGCATACGATGGGCTCTGCGACCGTCACCATCACCTGGAAGCAGCAAGCCAAGAAGTACTGCATGGAGCTGCAAAAGTGAGACGTCGCCGAGATGCGCCGAGATGCCGCCGAGATGCCGCCGAGGTACAGCCGAGGTACAGCCGAGGCACAGCTGCGGTACAGTCGAGATACAGGTACAGCCGAGGCACACAGGCGAGGCACACAGCCGAGGTACAGTCGAGGGACAGAGCCGAGGTACAGCCGAGATGCAGTCGAGGTGCAGTCGAGGCGCCTCCTCGCCCGCGCCCCCTTCACACAACAGCACAGCCCCGGGACCGTCATCGCGCGACCGGACAGCGACAGTCAGACATGCGGCACACGGGCGGTCGCACGGAGGGCGAGCAAAAGCCTTCTCGCGCCCCTTGACACGCCGCCGCTCCGCCGACAGGTGGGGCCTCACCTCCTCCATCGCCCCGGAGTCGGACGGTGACAAAGGGCCCGGCGGCGGCGGCGACGGCGGCGGCGGAGGCGGCGCGTGAGGCGGGTGCGTCACTAGGACGCCCTGCCAGGTGCGCCGTGGTTCTCCACGCAGTTTCGCCGCCGCACTCACCGCCGCATCTCCGCGCCTTATCTCCGCTTGACGGCCATGCCTTGGGCGGCAGCCAGCTTTCCTAGCACACAACGTGTGAGAAATGTCCAAATTTCACAAAAAGTGGATGACTAATCAAAATTGAACTTTGGAAAACTCGGACCCACGAAGAGAAGGAGCGCGCGCCAATGGCCGCCTCCGTGACACTCCCACCTCCTGGGCCGGCGCGGGAGTTTTACTGCCGAGTTTCCCCCGGCCGGCCGCCTCCTGACACGCCCACTGACCGAGCCCATCGAAAAAAATTCGGCGCGCCGCACTGCTCTGACCCCTGCTCGCCCCTGCTCGCCCCTGCTCGCCACTGTCGCCTCGGTTGCCGAGGCTGCCGCGCACCCGCGCGCTACGCGACTACGAACTGCACCAGCTGGGCTCGAACCAACGACCAAAACGTCCCCGACCCGAACGCTGCACCAACTAGGCCACACCGCAGGCTCGATATGCAATACGCACAAAACTGGCCGCTCATAAAGCACTACTCATTTGCCGAGGCCACGCGGCGCCCCTCCACAGCCAGCCTACCCTCCTATCGCGCCACTCGAAGCCCCGCGGCCGCCTCTCGCCTACCGCGCTGCCCTCGCCTGCCACCGCACCGCCCGCGCTCCAGCCTAACCAGCTCTGCATCTCGCAACACACACTTGACAGGGACAGACCAGGCGCAGGAAAAGGGAGCGGGGCCCGAATCCAAGGGACCACCCCGTCGGGCGGAGGAGCTGTGAACTCAGGTCCAGCAGGAAGGCTGCTGGCTCCTGACTCATCCCCCAAATCCCCCACACCTTGGCGGCCTGAAACCTTACCATTCCGACACCTCACACACACCCCTCCCCTAGGGCTAAGCAGTGCGCGAGCCCACCCGACTTCAGGCGAGACGTTGACCACTCCTTTGGAACAGTTCTGTCAGTGGCTGCACTAGACGCCCACAGAGGCGCGCGGCGCGGGCAGATGACTAGGGGAGAAAAAGCGGAGAACCTAGCTCGCTGGGAGATGTGCGCAACCTAAAGACGGGAATAGGGGAGAAGTGTCAGTGTGAGGGGAGGGCGTAGGCTGGCGTTTTTGCCTTTGAAAACTGAACAGTTTTTTTTCAAAATTGAACTTTGAACGCATCTCTCTCGGCCTCTCGCGCATGAAAAAAATCAAAAATAAGTGAGTCTCTCGACACCTATACGGCTTTAGCTACAAGCTAGAGCCGTAGAGGCTAGAGGGGAAAAAATGCTTAGCGCGAAAAACAGGCACACCAATCTCCCTTCCTCTCTCTGTCCCCCCTTAGAGCTCCAGAAACCACACCCCCCTGCCCTGGGATCGCGTACGAGCTGTGGCTACCGGAGATCTCTCCCTCTCCCCCTCCCTAAAGCCTGGCAATGGATCAATAACGCTCACAAAGACAGCAACGTCCGGACTAAGCGTGAAGCTGTCACTGAGTGTGCTCAGCTGCGGCCAGGTGATGCGCTATATCGTAGCAGAAGTAGCAGCTCAGCTTCGGCCATGTGGTAGGACTATCAGGTAGTAGCCGAGCGGCCACTGTGACCGCTGTGTCGGAAACGCTGAGCTAAGGCCGAGCTAAGATTGCGCCGGTGCGAGCTTTAGGCGACTTCGCGTGGTGCGCGAGCGTGGGCGTGCTCTGCCATCGGCAGGCAGCGTGAGGGCTGCGATCTCGCGCTCGGTGGCCGCTAGCTGGGCAGGGTTCACAGCCACCCTGTCCTCAGCCAGGGCAGCGCAACGGTGCTGAGGTTTCAGAAGCGCCGAGCGCCAGAGCAGCAGGGTCTGGTCGGCGAGCCTTCTGCGGGTAACGTCGGTGCTGCCCTGGGAGCACCGCAGCTTCTCCAAGAGGTGCTCGCGAAGCGTCGTCAAGTGCGGCGCCAGAAGCGTGTGCAGTGCGTGGCATGTGCACGACAGTGCCTTCAGCTCGATTGCTGCACTCGTGATGGGCGAGTCCCACATGAGCGCACGCTGGCGCCGCACGCTCGGTACCCGGTTCTCGCCGATGACAAAGGCGAGTGTGAGGAGCGAGTCGTCAGTCAGATCGAGGAGCACCTCGACAGGCCTCAACATCGAGCCGGCGAGCGAGGCCGCCGCCGCCGCGTGGCCGTCGGTGGAGATATGAATGTGAATCGCGACAATAGCCGGGGGGAGCGCGGGCCCAGGTCGCGCACCCAGTCGAGAACGATGAGCGTCCAAGCGCCTGCAGCGGCTGAGAGGGGGGGGGGGGTCATGACCCCAGCAGCAGAGCGCTGCTGCTGGGGGGGGGGGGGGTCGGCCATGGCTTTAGATGTGCAGGGGGGGTACCGACTACCGAGCAGTGTGCGGCCGCTCCTGCTCCTGACAAGGGACACGACAGGCTCGCAGCGCGGTGCATGGTGGAATCCCAACTCCACTGGCGGTCTCATCTCAGTCTAGCGACCTTCCTCCGGCTTCTCACCGGCAGTCTCTCACTACCACGGGCACACTGACACAGGGGTGGCAGGGGCGGCGGCATGAGTCTCCCACATACTATGCGGGCCTCACTAGAGGTGCGGCCTGCGCGTGTCCTCGCCCTTGGGAAGGTCTTGAGGGGGGAGGGGAAGGGGCTGTGTGTCTGTGCATGCATGCATGCATGCATGCATGCATGTGTGTGTGTGTGTGTGTGTGTGTGTGTGTGCGAGCCGCCCTGAACGCCACGAGCGCGCCGCGAGCGCACGCCGGCGAGCCGTCGGCAGCGCGCGACCGCCACCAGAAATATCTTAAAGAAAGAAAGAAAACAGACAACCCAAGGGAGGGATGGGAGGACGGCACGCCGCCACCACACAGGGATTTTAAGGAGAGGAGTGGTGGTGCTAGCCGTCGCCCACCCTAAACCCTTGGTCGTCTGCCTCTTTCTATCTCCCTTCGCAGCGCCCTCGCCGATTCTCGCTGCAACCTTCATGCCACCTCGCGGTCGTCCCCCGGGCGAGAGCCCCCCGCCCCCCTGCTTCCCTAGAGGCCTCCCCTGCCTGTCACGCCATCCACTTGCTCGCCACGGGGGGCACGGACGACGGAGCCTCTCTCCTAGACACAAGACATGCGAGGCTGGCACATCACACGATCCCGTAGCTAGGCCGGCACCCCATGGCCATACACCCACACCCACAAACCTCGACAAATACCCCCCCTCCCCCCAACCCCCCCCCCCCCCCCTATGAGCAACGGCCGCATCCGCCACCATCCTGGCAGCGGTCGGACCCTGGCAGCGGCGTGCTCGCGGGGACGCGGGCGGTGCAACACATGCAGGTCATGTCGACGGGCTCCGCGCCGCTGCCGGTCGGGTCTCAAAGACCAATCAGATCCGCGGCCGCACGTCCACCACCTCGTAGGAAAGCCCCTCGACCACCACCGTCTCGACGTCGCCGGTCGGTTGCAGGTACGTCAGCGGTGGGAAGAGGAACTCCGCCTCGCCGGGGAAGGCGGAGAGGAAGCTTATGTTAGGGCCGCGCTCGTAGAAGGAGTCGGTGATGAGCCGCAGCAGCACCGCCTTGACGCTCGCAGAGTACTTCATCGCGACGCTGAGGTCCGATGTGGTCGACATGGGCGCGAGCTCCGTCCCGCCCTGCTCCATGAAGTCGGCCGGCGCCGTGACGTCCTTCATGCCACGGTAGAGGTAGACGCGACGCAATGCGGAATCGCGCGAGTGGTCCGCCTCGACCGCCCGCAGCTTGCCGAGCGCATCACGGATTAGTGCGACCGTCACTGGCAGCATGTGCGGCTCGCCGCGCAAGAAGCGGTCCTTGTCGCGCAGCGGGTTGTTTATGCTCTTGTAGGCCTGGGATCCGAGAGAGGACGAGGTGAGAAACGGGCCGAGTCAGAGGGCAGCGGGAGGGTTGGAGACAGAGGAGCTTGCCTGCGTAGTATAGAGACGAAGAGCGACCACGTGCGCCTCAGTCAGGTTGGCCAGCCGCGCGCTCCGGTGAGAGACAAAGTCCTCTAGCCGCATCCCGCGCATCACGCCGCTGCTGTCGGCCACGGTGCGGCACGCAAGCACCCTGCCTCGTTCGTCGCAGTCGCGCTTGAGCCCGCCCTGATAGGTTTGTTCGCTCGAGCCCGCCTCGGCGTGCAGGATGTAGTCGAGGCACTCGCGGTCGTCGTCAGTGCCGCCGGCACTCACCTCCCGGATGACGGCGGCGGTGCCGTCGATCAGTCCTTGAAGGACAGCCTCTCTTGGAGCGCACATGTAGTGCTCCACGCCCAAGGCAGCTGTGGCGGGGCGCCCAAACACGAGCTCTGAAGGAGGGTTGGCGAAGCGGTTCTCCTCGACGTGAGCCTCGGTGGCGGTGTGGAGCACGCGGAGGGCGTCGAGGCCGCCGACCAGCGAGGCGACGGCGCTGACCATCATGGTGTGGACCACGCTGGGCTCTTGCAAGTCCTCCTCCGCATTCAGGGCGTCGTCCTGCGTGCTGTCGCGCGCGCTCTGCTCGTTGTCGCCACCGGCCTCTTGGCGTGGCTCTTCCACCTGCGCGAGCTCCACCTCCTGGCGTGGCTCCACTCGGACCGTGACGCGCCCCTCGCGCGCCCTGCTCCGCCTCCTTGTCTCCAAGAGCGCGCAGCTGCAGACGATCGCGGCGACGAGGCCGATGGCCCCAACACCCGACCCCACCGCGATCGCAAGGATCATCTCCGCCTCCTGGCCTTGCGATGGAAGGAGCGGCGGCGCAGGTGCTGCGGGGGGCCGCGGGGGCGACGGGGGCGGCAGGGGCGGTTGGGACGGCGGCGAGGGAGGCTGCGGTGGCGGCGACGGCGGCGACGGCGGCGAGGGCGGTGGTGGCGAGGGCGGTGGTGGCGAGGGCGGTGGTGGCGAGGGCGGTGGTGGCGAGGGCGGTGGCGGTGGCGGCGGCGACGGCGGTGGCGACGGCGGCGACGGCGGCGACGGCGGCAACGGCGGCGACGGCGGTGGCGACGGCGGCGACGGCGGCGACGGCGGCGACGGCGGTGGCGACGGCGGCGTCGGCGGCGGCTGCGACGGAGGAATTGCCGGTGGCGCGGCCGGTGGCGCGGCCGGTGGCGCCGAGGGCGCCGAGGGCGGTGGCGCCGACGGCGGCGACGGCGGCAAGGGCGGTGTTGGCGAAGGCGGTGGTGGCGAGGGCGGTGGCGGCTAGGGCCATGTTGGCAAGGGCGGTGGTTGGG